TACTCTGCCCATCCCTCCCTTCCCACAGCCCAGCCCCAGCTTCTCATTTGCCTGGACTACAGTCATTGCCTCTTTGTCCTCTGCACTCCTCAGGCATCCAGAAAATGAAGAACACAGAAGTAGTGACACCTGTGGAAAATATGGGTTAAGTGACTTGCCCAGCACCACACAGGAACACAGTGGCAGAGGCATGGATAGACTCCAGTTCTCCAGGGCAGCCGTCAACTGCCTTTCCCATGAGACTCACCTTTTTCTTTCTAGTAATAGAGATGTAGCCGTGTCAGTCTGGTGTAGCTGAACCAAAAGGCAGGACTAGGCAGCACTTTAAGACTAACAAGATGGTTTATTAGGTGATGAGCTTTCGTGGGCCAGACCCACTTCCTCAGATCAAATAGTGGAAGAAAATTGGCACGACCAGATATACCAAAGGATACAATTAAAAAAAGTGAACACATATGAAAAGGGCAAAACAGATTTTAGAACAGAGGGGGGTGGGGGGGAGGTTAATGTCTGTGAGCTAATGATAGTAGAGGTGATAATTGGGGAAGCTGTCTCTGCAATCGCCTGCCTCATTCAACAGTTCCGCCACAAACGGAGGAAAGGCCCTACGGACAACAGCCTTTCTCTACACGCCCCCTCGCCATTCTCAGCGCAGACCCCTCCTGCACACTGAAGGAGGCAGGGGCTCTGGGGAAAAAGGCGCGACCATGTGGTCAAATAGGCGCTGGGCCCGAGGGGCAGCGTGAAGGGTCACAATGAGCAAGACAAGAAAGAGACCTAAACACAAAAGCAATGAACGTGCTGTGACGTAGTGGGGGTACTTGCTGGGCTGTGGTGATGTAGTGGGGGTACTTGCTGGGCTGTGACGTAGTGGGGGTACTTGCTGGGCTGTGGTGAAGCCGCAGGGCTTGGCCCCGCAGCTCCGCGGCACAGACCCCGGGGGCAATAGCCATCGGAGTGCGTGGGCCAGGGTGAGCCGCAGGGCTTGGCCCCGCAGCTCCGCGGCACAGACCCCGGGGGCAATAGCCATCGGAGTGCGTGGGCCAGGGTGAGCCGCAGGGCTTGGCCCCGCAGCTCCGCGGCACAGACCCCGGGGGCAATAGCCATCGGAGTGCGTGGGCCAGGGTGAGCCGCAGGGCTTGGCCCCGCAGCTCCGCGGCACAGACCCCGGGGGCAATAGCCATCGGAGTGCGTGGGCCAGGGTGAGCCGCAGGGCTTGGCCCCGCAGCTCCGCGGCACAGACCCCGGGGGCAATAGCCATCGGAGTGCGTGGGCCAGGGTGAGCCGCAGGGCTTGGCCCCGCAGCTCCGCGGCACAGACCCCGGGGGCAATAGCCATCGGAGTGCGTGGGCCAGGGTGAGCCGCAGGGCTTGGCCCCGCAGCTCCGCGGCACAGACCCCGGGGGCAATAGCCATCGGAGTGCGTGGGCCAGGGTGAGCCGCAGGGCTTGGCCCCGCAGCTCCGCGGCACAGACCCCGGGGGCAATAGCCATCGGAGTGCGTGGGCCAGGGTGAGCCGCAGGGCTTGGCCCCGCAGCTCCGCGGCACAGACCCCGGGGGCAATAGCCATCGGAGTGCGTGGGCCAGGGTGAGCCGCAGGGCTTGGCCCCGCAGCTCCGCGGCACAGACCCCGGGGGCAATAGCCATCGGAGTGCGTGGGCCAGGGTGAGCCGCAGGGCTTGGCCCCGCAGCTCCGCGGCACAGACCCCGGGGGCAATAGCCATCGGAGTGCGTGGGCCAGGGTGAGCCGCAGGGCTTGGCCCCGCAGCTCCGCGGCACAGACCCCGGGGGCAATAGCCATCGGAGTGCGTGGGCCAGGGTGAGCCGCAGGGCTTGGCCCCGCAGCTCCGCGGCACAGACCCCGGGGGCAATAGCCATCGGAGTGCGTGGGCCAGGGTGAGCCGCAGGGCTTGGCCCCGCAGCTCCGCGGCACAGACCCCGGGGGCAATAGCCATCGGAGTGCGTGGGCCAGGGTGAGCCGCAGGGCTTGGCCCCGCAGCTCCGCGGCACAGACCCCGGGGGCAATAGCCATCGGAGTGCGTGGGCCAGGGTGAGCCGCAGGGCTTGGCCCCGCAGCTCCGCGGCACAGACCCCGGGGGCAATAGCCATCGGAGTGCGTGGGCCAGGGTGAGCCGCAGGGCTTGGCCCCGCAGCTCCGCGGCACAGACCCCGGGGGCAATAGCCATCGGAGTGCGTGGGCCAGGGTGAGCCGCAGGGCTTGGCCCCGCAGCTCCGCGGCACAGACCCCGGGGGCAATAGCCATCGGAGTGCGTGGGCCAGGGTGAGCCGCAGGGCTTGGCCCCGCAGCTCCGCGGCACAGACCCCGGGGGCAATAGCCATCGGAGTGCGTGGGCCAGGGTGAGCCGCAGGGCTTGGCCCCGCAGCTCCGCGGCACAGACCCCGGGGGCAATAGCCATCGGAGTGCGTGGGCCAGGGTGAGCCGCAGGGCTTGGCCCCGCAGCTCCGCGGCACAGACCCCGGGGGCAATAGCCATCGGAGTGCGTGGGCCAGGGTGAGCCGCAGGGCTTGGCCCCGCAGCTCCGCGGCACAGACCCCGGGGGCAATAGCCATCGGAGTGCGTGGGCCAGGGTGAGCCGCAGGGCTTGGCCCCGCAGCTCCGCGGCACAGACCCCGGGGGCAATAGCCATCGGAGTGCGTGGGCCAGGGTGAGCCGCAGGGCTTGGCCCCGCAGCTCCGCGGCACAGACCCCGGGGGCAATAGCCATCGGAGTGCGTGGGCCAGGGTGAGCCGCAGGGCTTGGCCCCGCAGCTCCGCGGCACAGACCCCGGGGGCAATAGCCATCGGAGTGCGTGGGCCAGGGTGAGCCGCAGGGCTTGGCCCCGCAGCTCCGCGGCACAGACCCCGGGGGCAATAGCCATCGGAGTGCGTGGGCCAGGGTGAGCCGCAGGGCTTGGCCCCGCAGCTCCGCGGCACAGACCCCGGGGGCAATAGCCATCGGAGTGCGTGGGCCAGGGTGAGCCGCAGGGCTTGGCCCCGCAGCTCCGCGGCACAGACCCCGGGGGCAATAGCCATCGGAGTGCGTGGGCCAGGGTGAGCCGCAGGGCTTGGCCCCGCAGCTCCGCGGCACAGACCCCGGGGGCAATAGCCATCGGAGTGCGTGGGCCAGGGTGAGCCGCAGGGCTTGGCCCCGCAGCTCCGCGGCACAGACCCCGGGGGCAATAGCCATCGGAGTGCGTGGGCCAGGGTGAGCCGCAGGGCTTGGCCCCGCAGCTCCGCGGCACAGACCCCGGGGGCAATAGCCATCGGAGTGCGTGGGCCAGGGTGAGCCGCAGGGCTTGGCCCCGCAGCTCCGCGGCACAGACCCCGGGGGCAATAGCCATCAGAGTGCGTGGGCCAGGCGCGAGGGGCCGACTCGGACACACTCTGCCAGCAGGTTTTACACACGTTTGCAAACAGCAGAAGTCTGAAGACTGGGGACTCCTGCGTTCCATTCCAGGGCCTGGAGGGGGGACAGGAGACTCGTCTGCCCCCGCCCCTTCACACCTCCTCCCCATCTGCTCCTACCTCCCTTCCTTCCATGTCCCCAGCCCCTCCCCTCCTATCCGGGCCCATCCCCTGCTGCCTTGCCCCACCCTCCCATGCCTGTCTCCCCCCTAATTCCTCAGCACCCTGCAGTGAGGCCAGCTGAGCCGCTCCCCCTTCCACAGAGCCCGGGCATTGGCAGGGGGAACCCTGAGCACAGGGGAGGCACCGCCTCCCGGTTCACAGTGGTGGGGCTGCTGCCGGGCAGCCTGGCATAGTAATGGCAGCCCCTGGAGGGCGCACGCGGGTGCTCCCAGAGGGGCGGTGCAGGTGCAGCTATGAGGGACTAAGCCATGCTCAGGTCAGATGGCATCGATGGAGAACTGAGCTGTCAGCCTAGCAGATCTCTACGGAGCACACGCAACCTGCAATTTTTCAAAGACTCGGGCATGGCCGAATTTGGACAGATTTTCCCAGGAAAAGCAAAAGGCAAGTCTCTGACTCCAGGGCAACCCCTCCTCCAAATCTTCTGCCCCTGCTCCAACCTGCCTGGGTTCTAGAACTTCTCAAAACATGCCTTGTGCACACTTCATTCGCCAGGGCAAAACATCCCTCCCCCCCCCCATCGCATTCGTGGAAATGGCCAAAGTACTTTTGCTGAAATGGTTCAAATAGCCCCCGGGAGGCCAACACCCAGCAAGAGACACTCCACCCGCCCAGCTACACTTTGGCAAAGTGACAAGCAACTGAAACCAGTTGTTGGGAGGGGCTGGCCAACTCCCACACCCCCGGGACCAGACAATGCAGTCCTGTGCCCCGCTTCCAACTCACCGAAAAGCAAATCAGAAACCCGCCTAGCTAGCACGGCAGGGGAGGGGGTGCCCAGCAATTCCCAGCTCCCCATACACGTTGATAAAAGAGCTAGGAAATGCCTAAAACAAGTCCTAGCTAGTAACAGGCGCCCTGCAGGAGCTCACCCTGCGGCTCCAGCACCACAGCAGTCTTGTGAGCCACCTGCCAGACTGTGCCTGGGTGAACGCGCGGGAGCCACGTACAGGGATTTACACTGCGCAGACCGGCAGCTCCAGGGGCCACGGGAGCTGCAATCGCCTGTACCTGCGGAGGCACAGGCAAACACAGCGGTGTAACCCTGGAGGGCCAGGCCCACCTGCTCTATGCACTCTGCACAGACCTCAGTGACGATGTCAGGTGCGAGGCACTGGGAGAATCAGATTGTGTGTGTCCACCTCGACACACACACAGACGCACACACAAACATGCCTTCACACGTGTGTGCCTGGTCAGGGTAAGTCACACACACAGATGCACGCATGCACATTCAAGCCGCTGTACGCCCACAACCAGATGCCCACACACTCACGGACACACAGCTGCATTTACGCCACAGGTTCCGTTGTATGCCCCTGGCGGGGCCTGTCTGCCACCATCCCCGCCATGATACATGGTGCCCCCTTCCTCCAAGCCATGCTGAGAGCTGCCTAGCACAAAGAGTGTTACCCAGCGGAGAGCGGGCTGCTGTGCACATAGTCCCAGTCCGTCTCCACGGCGCCAATGTAGTAGCGTCGGGTGATTCCGCTGCCCTCCTGGACGAGGCAACCCAGCAGAAAGCAGCACAGGGCTCCTCGCAGCCGGCTGGCCCTCATGCTGGGGAGGCAGAAGCGATTCTGATTAAAACTAGTCATTTCTGATGTGTCCTCCGTCCGGTGCTTTAATCCGCAGCGGAAAGGAGGGAAGCAGCAACCCCAGACTTGGTCAACCCTCTGGAACGCTTTCCCAGGCGTCAGGCGAGGCAGTCGTGACCAGAGCGGTGCAGAAAGAGACATACGTAAGCGACGGGCTCCGTCTTCTGGGTGGTACCGGCAGAAGGAGAGGAAAAAACAAAGGGAAAAGGGAGGCTGAACAAAGCCTGAGCTTTTCCTGGCCTGCAGCACTCCAGGTGCAGGGTGTTTGTGTTCGGAACGCTGGAGTGACTTGTGGAAAGGAAGGGCTGTGGCTAGTGGTCCCTGCCCGCTCCCTCCTCTCTCAGCAGGGAAGGAAAAAGCGCAAGGCTGGGGCCCAGTTCAGCCTCCCCCAGGCCATGGAGAGCAAGGTGCTTTACTCTCTCTCGCAGCCCAACGCAACCAGGCTGAGACTGGCCTCAGCTGCGCCTGCATAGCAAAGCTCTTGGGTCCAGCCTGTGACAGGTGCATGCACCAAGAAGGAAACGTGGACTCAAAGCCAAGCTCTGGTTCTGCAGGACGAGCAGCCTCAGGGGACCCGCGGTGTTGGTGCATACGGCGCCTTGCAGGTAGGCATGGCTGCGGCTCTAGTGAGCAACAGGCTGAGATCACACGTGCAACCCCACGAAGAATGGACCCAAAGCAAAGCTTGAAAATAAGCAGCAGAACAGCTCTTGAGCAAGAGGGGGTGTGATGGGGTCACAGTCACAGACGACCCCTCGGGGGCCTCCCGGGGTGCTGGCACGGCCACTGCCACTCGCCTTCCCGCTCTCTGGGGCTCCTCACCGCCCGGTCCTGCTGGGCCAGCTCCCTGGTCTCCAGCCAAGGCCCTGAGCTGAGGTCCCTGCCCCCACCCAGAAGCAGCACAGACACTGAACCACTTCAGGGCCAAGGAGAGAGCAGGTTAGGGCCCAGCCTCCTGAGAGAGCACCCCCCACATGGGATCAGACCCAAGGAATTAGGTGAGCCCCCTTTAGCAATGGAAGGGGAATGTCACACTGGCTGCCCCCCAGGTAACAGTCGCTTACACTGGGTTTGATAGAAAATAAAAACGGTTTTATGAAGTGGAAGCAGTAGGGTTGAAGGAGTAAGAAGAGAAAGTCGGCAGAGCAAAGTAGGTAACAAATCAAAAGAAACAAAACCGCCCGGCTGATTCTCCACTGAAACCTCAGTGCAAACTTCATCAAACTCCCCCTAAAACCTCTCTTCCAGCTGCCACTCTACGCCAGGGCTGTGTCCGCCCCCTGGGGTCTCAGGCTCCTTCCTCCAGGTGCAGCCCAGCCAAAAACCCCGCCTCTCCTTTCCTATTCCTTCTGTTAAGGAGGTGAGGCCACTCCCTACCAACCACTGCTCAGACTGAAGGACAAAAGATTGTTTAACGGTGGCTCATCTAGAAGTTGCAGGTAACACCCTCCATGTCTCCCATTCACACACTGGAAACTTACAAATGATTCCCCACTCCCTGTGTCTAATTTTCCACACACAAATGATGCGTACAACAGAGTAAGATAAACACACCCAACAAATCATGACATGAAGATGGATGGGTTACATGAAATAATTCGCTCAAACCACCTTTGAGTTACGTATATTCATGTCCATGAGTCCATTTCATAAAGCATGGGGGCGCTCGGTCACAAGGAGGTTTGTGCAAGAAAGAGCAGTGTAGACTGCTTCTTCTTGCACAAAAATGGCAGCTCATTAAGTATGCAAATGAGGTGCAGTGATATTCATCACCACAGCTCATCTGCATATGTTCTTGCGCAAGAAAGTGCAATATAAATGTAGCCCAGGAGTTTTGCTTTTTGTGGGAACAAGACCAGGCCCAGTGCAGACTGATACAAATCTAATCAAGCTTCATGTTTCTGGTAGGGTTATCAATTGACGCACATTAACGCCTGTGATTATACAGAGCACAATTAACACATTAATTTTTTAGCACGTTAATCACAGGTGTTTCTGCGGCGCTGCCCCTTTGAAACTCTGCCAGGGCATTTCAAAGGGGCAGAGCAGTAGGAGCCTGAGATCAGCTGGAGTCCCCAGCTGACCCCAGACTCCAGGCAGAGCTGCCCCTTTGAAACACTGTTGCATTTCAAAGGGGGCAGCACCTGGGGTCAGCTGTGCGGCACTGCCCCTTCGAAGTGCCACCCTTGTGTTTCAAAGGGGCAGCGCAATGAAGCCTGGGATCAGCTGGGACTCCAGCTGATCCCAGCCTCCCATGGCGCTGCCCCATTGAAACGCTGGAGCAGCGCTTCAAAGGGGCAGCACTGCACAGAGCCGGAGTCAGCTGGAGATTCCAGCTGATCCTGGGCTCCTGCAGTACTTCATCTGGGGCAGCATTTCAAAGGGGCAGCACTGCACAGAGCCGGAGTCAGCTGGAGATTCCAGCTGATCCTGGGCTCCTGCAGTACTTCATCTGGGGCAGCATTTCAAAGGGGCAGCTGCACTGGGCCTGGGGTCAGCTGAGGACTCCAGCTGATCCCAGGCTCTCACAGCACTGCCCCTTTGAAACACTGCCACAGCGTTTCAAAGGGGCAGCACGCGCTTGACAGCCCTAGTTTCTGGGCATCAGCTAATCTCTGGAGCAGAAGCCACGTTGGACGCTCGTCTACGTGGCCTGAACTATGTTAGACAGTGAGTAACTGAATAGTTAACTAACCGCATGAAATTTTACTAGTTAGTTGACTAGTCTATAGTCCCCGGGGGTGGGGCTTGCAGCCAGTGCACTCTGGCCCATTCCCAGGGAACCCACCTGCCATCCCACATCTCTGCCTCTGTATCAGGGGCAACAGCGCCGGGTGCCAGGTGGGAGCTGGTCCGAGAGGTCAGCTCATTTAAAAACCAGCTCCACTCATGGACCAGCTGAGGGCCTGCGGCCACTGTGGGCAGAGGCTGCTTCACGGCAGCCTCCCTGCCCCCTCCCCATGCGGCTGCCTCTGATTCAGAAGCAGCAAGGTGGGAAGCGAGTAGTTGACTAGATGAACCGCTAAGCCCAGGCTTATCTGCTAGTCGACTAGTCGCTTACATCCCTAATCTGAACTGCTGCTGTGGACATAGCAATGGGGCAAAAGTCACTGTGGGTCAGTGTGCTACCACAGCCACCCTTGAGCTGCGTCAGTTACAGGCTCTAGGGAAATCCCCTTCCTGGGTGCTCCAAAGGGCCACAAAAGGATACACGATGGGGAATCCACTCTGAAGACGCCCACCGGGCTGGCTAGGGGGGAGCAGAAGAGAGTTGGAAACACCTCCACCTCCCTCGCTGGGGCCACAGTGCAGCCCCGAAATGATTCACCAGAACGTTCTATGCAAATCTTTCTGGGGCTGAAGCTCACACGTCTCGTTTGCGAGGCCCCGGAAAGTCTCCTCCCTGGCTGAGCTCATTGGATGTTTTCTGGCTGCAAACACTAAAAGGCGGGAGGGGTCTGCCTTACCTTGTGCTCTGCTATGCAAATGAGGTGGTATGGGAAATACCCAGTGAGTCCTTCCCAGGAAGCCAGCCTCTGCTCTGAAGTAATGCACGTGCGGGCAGGGGAGGGGGCTGCTCCTCTGCTCCGGGGCAGGGGGGGGGGCTACAGGGGCCAGGCTCCCAATTAGACTTAAGAAGCCACCTGGGCCCTAGAGGGAAGGCAGCCCCAGAAGCGTGGGGCTAGCAGGGAAGTCCCAGCACCCGTGGCCTGGGACTGGAGATCACACCCCACTGTGGCCCTGAGGCCAAGGCATGGGGGCATAGCTTCCCTGGCCTTGGGGCTCCAGCTGTGGGAGGGGGCGGAGGCAGGAAGGAGCAAGAGAGACAGGCTACAGGCTGCAGTGTGGGGGACCCGCGGTGGAACGGGGAAGGGGCAGAAAGGGGTGCAGCTGTGAGTGGGACCCATATTGCTCTGGCCCAGGGTCCCAGGAAATCGTCACCCGCCTCTGCTGACCAGACCCAAGAACTCACCTCTCAGGCTCTAGGCTAGACAAAGGAGTGTGTCAGCCTCGCAGCCCCTCCGAGAGGCAGGGCAGCACTGCCCCCCTTTCGCAGCTGGGGAAACTGAGGCACGGAGCAGGGAAGTGACTTGCCGAAGGCCACACAGGACATCAGAGCCCAGGATTTGAGGCTCCGGTGCTTTTGCGACTGTCCCTCAGGTCTGCTGGGCTGGGCAGGGCTCAGTCTGCTTTACCATTGCCCCAATGAGCTATTCCAGCCTCTGCAGTACAGAGCCGTGTGATGTCATTTGCCTCCCCTCCCATCGCTATGAGCCCTGGGGCAGATCAGTCATTAGTGCCGCAATGCCACTGACACCAGCTGCGCTGCCCCTTGGCTCTGCGCGCCTGTGCATGCTGCAGTAGCGAAGGGGCCACCCAAGGCACTTCCATGGGGGTAGGACCCCGTCTCTTCCCAGCACAACTCCCTCCCCTCGCAAGCACACAGAGCCGGGCCGCAGCGGGGGAAACCCTTCCAAGCAATGATGCTATCTAGCAGAGCTCCTGCAAGGGATGCAAAATTTTCTAGGGACTCTCCCCTGTAGCAAGAGAAAAAACCCAGTTCTCTGAGGGACTGCCCACTCCTTCCTCCTGGCTCTCTGCGGGGATGGCTGACACAGCAGCTAGCTAACAAACCTGGGTGAAAACACTCTCCCCACAGCTCAAAGCAGGGAAATCAGAATCTAGCAATTCCTCTAGAAGCGGCAGCAGCTTTCGACTTGAGTCCCAAAGGTTTGAAAAAACCAAAACATGTTTTGCAGCAAACATCTGACTAGGGCAAAAGCATGTGGTGGGTATCCCCACGGCATCCTGTCAATGTTGCGGCTCGTCTCAGTGAGGATGTGCATTCTCCAGGGCCAGGGCTGTCTGCACCCTTTCACCTGTAAAGCGCTTAACAACTCACAAGAATAACACCCGGCTGCCTAGCGCTTTTCATTCATAAGTTGTGCAGCACTTGACACAGGAGGGCAGAATCATTGTTCCCATTCCACAGCTGGAAAAACTGAGGCACAGAGTGAGGAAAGGTGACTTTGCCTCTGGCCTGCTGGGTGATGTTGGATTAGTCGGGAATAGAATCAAATGGAAAAATAGGTTGACTCTATATAATTGTTTTGGTTTTGCTTTTCTCAACAAGGAAAAAAATATGTTGACCCAAAATATTTTG